TGTGCACGTGTGCACATCCATTTTGTGATTTGTTGTTTCGTGCGCAGCACACCTCCCCACTGCACAACATTACATTATTATTATTACATACGGCAAAGAGTAGGTGGGGTCCACTTCCGAAAATTCTCCCCACTTTACCAGCTACATTCAACTAACTTGCACCCTTGGTCCCACGCACGATCCTATCTATCTATCCCTGCCTAATAACTTAAGGGGGTTTTTTCTTTTTATCAACAAAATGATTGGTTTATTAGGGGTTGGATGAAGCGTAAACGATTTGTTTCAACTTAAATAAAATCTTGAATTTGAAATTTTGTGTATGTAATAGTTTTTGTTGGGAGACTCACTCATCATTTTTAGGTACATAACGCGGGTCGATCCAGATTAATTGGGACAAAATCTCATATACAAAATGGAAAACCAAAAAAAAAAAAAACAAAATGATTGGTTTAAATAAAAGAATTTCGACCATCTTAAATAAAATTTTAAATTAAAATTTTATTTAAAAAATAAATATTAAAAAAAATTTATAAAATTTGACATAATTTAATTTTAAATTAATTAAAATTTAATATAATTACTAGATATCATGAAATTAATAAAAAAAAAAGTAAAGGGTTATTTCCAATATCTAATCTACCTTTTAATTAGCTGTTCAAATCTAAGATATATTGAATTCGCTGGTACTTATTATTATTTTGTTTGATTTTTAGCATATTTATTTTTTTAATCTTTTAAATAAAAATTTAATATATTATATAAATAATAATTAAAAATTTTGTAATTAATCCAGCACTTGGTGGCTCAATGGCTATCCCCTACCGAGACGTGCTTAGGACTAAAGAGTTTGGGATCAAATTTCAAGCCCTTTCCCCCTTCCTTTAAAAAAAGAACTCCACATTGTTTAAAAAAAAAATTGTGATTAAATTAAAGTGCTTTATAAGAATTTTATATAAGAAGAAAAAAATTTTAATTATTATTCATATAAATTATTAAATTTTTATTAAAAATTTTATATTTAAAAAATAATAAAATAAAATAAATATACTAAAAATAAACAAAAGAAATATTTTGTAAGGGAAATTAAATAAAACTAAACAATTAATTTTTAATCATAAAGAATATTAATCTTTTTAATTAGTTTTTTTAATAACGATCACTTTTCAATTTTTTTTAAAATTAAAAATTAAAAATAATTTATGTGTCTATTTATATTATTTAAAAAATAAAAAATAAAGAGAAATTGTTTTAGATAAAATAATAATTAAAGTAAAATGATAACAATAAAATTAAAGTAAGATAAATTTTAAAAAATTATTATTATTTTAGATAAATAAAATAATATATAATGGTAAGGTACTATTTCTATTGACTTTGGACTAATATACATTACCCCAAACACAAGATAGCATCTTTTTATAGTT